TCATTCACCTGGTCATCTTCACCCAACTGACATGATAGCTTGGGTTACTACATCGGTGCATAGGAACAAAAAATTACTGACACTAATTCAAAGCTAGAAACCTTTATGTTCTCCAAACAGTGCACATATGTCATGCAGACCATCACTGTTGGCCGTCGGCTGCTGTCCGCCTCTTACCTGCGAGGAATACTAGAAAATGTAGTTATAAAATAAAATGGCTAGAAGACCACGACTTGATCGCCTAAGCCCCAATATTTAAGCGGTCACATGCTCATAAAACATGCTAAAACATGCCGCACACAGTGATTTTCCAGCTTTCATATCATAGAGAAGAGAGAATAAAATGAGGGAAAGGCAGGGAGGTTAACCAGAAAATGGAGCATCCGGTTTGCTACCCTGCACTAGGGGAAGGGGGAATGGGGAAGAAAGATTGGAAAGAAAGCGAAGAGGGAAATAGACGCGCGCGAAAAAAAAAGGGGGGGGGGGAGCTGGGGTGCTACAGTCTATACAATAGGCCGCTGCCACGCAAAAAGTTCAGTAGGGCCTTCACTGATTTTCTGTGAGCACACAAATCATGTCGTCTTTCCAGCACTGATTGTTCAGACAAAGGTCTGTCGTCAAGGCGAGCTAACGCAGCAGCTAGTTGCCGTCTTTGCACGCTGTAACGAGGGCAGTGACAGAGAACGTGCTCTATAGTTCCTTCGCTGCCGCAATGACCGCAAGCAGCACTGTCTTCCATGCCGATTCGGAAGGCGAAAGCTTTGGTAAAGGCGACACCAAGCCATAGTCGGCAAAGCACCGTTGTCTCGAGTCGGGAGAGTCCAGACGGAGGCCGGAGTCGACGAGACGTGTCCAGTCTACGCAGTCGCGTGTGCCGTAAGCACTCAGTGTTCCACAGAGATTTTAATTCTGCATCAGCGATTTTTCGGATGGTCATTGCAGCATCAGTCCTTGAAAATGGTATAGATTTTTCTTCGTCATCTTCGTGTGCTGATCGGGCAGCTACATCGGCATGTTCGTTGCCCAATATGCCGCAGTGACTTGGAATCCACTGAAACGTGATTCTGTGTCCTTCGTCGAAGAGGTGGTGAAGCAGCTCTCTAATTTCCAGCACTAGTTGTTCATGAGGTCCCCGGCGTAAGGCGAATGTCAGACACTGTAGTGCTGCCTTAGAGTCCGTGAACACGCTCCATTTCTTGGCTTCTTGGTGTTTAATGACTTGAATTGCGCTACGTAGAGCAGCAAGTTCCGCAGCTGTCGATGATGTCTGGTGGGATAAACGAAACTTCACCGTTGTCGATGTTGCAGGAAAGATCACCGACCCTGCAGACCCATCCACTATATGTAATGTGCCAAGGGGATAGATATGAAAAAAAAAAAAAAACTTACCTTTAGAATTGACGAGGACCGTTGTTTCCCGAGCCAGCTAATTCGAAAATTGGTGATCACACGGCGTCCATTCTTAAAGCTTTGCACAAAAGAATCCGCGAAAGAATCTTGCATGCAAGCTGGGGTGTCCGTTTCTTTGCAGGAGTGTTGCGGTGTTTAGTCCAGTGAAGAGCCGTTCCACAGAAACACACATGCATGTGCGTCCACAACTGCAGCACATGTAAGGAAGTAGGTTCTTCACAGCTACGTTGATAGCCCGTGAAGCGGCTTTGGCCTTCCACGGAATCAGAGCAAGAAAGATCACGACGAGTGACGTACAGGAGCCGCCCTCCTGACTGCAGTGACACGAGCGATTCCGAAGAAGTCCGGTGTCGATGGATACACATTGTGCGCGCAGAAATGCCCATCAGACTTGCACGATTGTCACCGATAGTTAATATCGTTAAGTTTATTGCACTAAGTTTCAAATCCTTACAATGGATGGCGCAGTATTGAAGCCCGACAAATAATCTTTTCTCGTGTCATTTCCTTCATCGTAAATGTGAGTGGGCTGACAAGCCTTGTCATCGATTCGAGGAACCCCCGAATCTGAATTTGCCACATTCTTCACCCCTCAATCTCCCGCCTCTCACAGCCATCATTCCACCACCCCGACAAAATAGAAAGGCGAGTTCCGGAACGATAGGGTGCACCTGACCGAGAGCCAGACCTTTGAAAGGCTGTTGAACCGTGCATTCAATGAAATCTGCAGAAAAAGGGTCTTTGAGTCCCTTCAACCCCTACCTGAGGGACAATGTGAGCCGTTCGTCTTCTCGTTAGTCCTCCAAATTTACACACGACACGCACTTCACCACACTTGGTCTCCTGGTGGACTAACAACATGATTTGGGGACTAAAATAGACGTTACTCCCCCTCTTAGCTGTTTTTTTTTAGATTGTAGCAACATGAAACTAAAGCGGCCGACGCCAAACGACTACGAAAAAATAATAATTGCCGGTTTTCACGGCCAAAGCTACGATATATGTTGATGAACAATGCCGCAGTAGAAAGCTCCATAAATTTTGACTCCCTGGCGTTCTTTAAGGTGACCCTAAATCAGCACTCGGGCCTCAAGCATTTTCCCTTACATCTAAAACGTGGCCGCCACGGTTGGAATTCGATGCTGCGACCGTCGGGTCAGCAGTCTGGCGCCGTATAAAGACTAGGCCAACACGCCAGACTGCAAGAATGACGCCAAACTGCAAGAAGTTTTGTTACATAATTAAAGCAAAAAAAAAAAACTACCGGCATCAGGAGGCTCAGTACCCAATAAACTCGGTATACGGCAGTAAAGAGGATTCTATGGGTAATTAATTTGTTTGCCCAGAAGACATAGTCATCTGCGAAATCCTTTCTACTGTCATTTTGGTTTCGTTATAAAGCGCTCAACGGCGTTCATTTCCCGCCATCGTCACCTAACAGCCGCTTGCGCGAATTTCAAGAAAAATAATGATAACATGTTACACATGGGATTTTCCGCGCCAAATCTATTACGTGGCTATGTGTTTCAGCAAAACTTGCTGCTGGGCGAGTTGGTTCATATTTCGAGATAAAATGGTGTGCTCAGGTTTGGGTGCACGTTAAAGAACCCCAGGTGGCCGAAATTTCCGCAGCCCTCCACTACGGCGTCTCTCATAATCACATGGTGGTTTTAGGGCGTTAAACCCCACGTATCAATCAAATGAATTCGTCTGTTTTGGTGTAGCGGCCGACGTCTTGGAAATCGAGCCTGCACCCTCGAGTTAATTAAGCGGTGCTTCACCCTTCATGCTAAGCTATCACCGCGTAATCTCAGTGGACGCTTTTCGGGGATTGAATAAAAGGAAGACATACTGTTTGCTACCGTTGGCGAATCCAATTTAGCAGACAAACGTGCTGCTACGACCCTCAGTCACCTACCACGCGGCAACAGATCGCGAACAGATGAATTGCATGATCAATTGAGACGAGCCTTGCCTGGCGTCAGCATTGTTGATTCTTGTCTTCATCACTTGCGGTCGCAGTTCTGGCTGTCCGTTATCATAATAACGTAATAAACGTTATACACGTACTTACATGACTTGGCAAGCTGTAGTCAAGCATTGAAAGTTCTCGCACGAACACGCTAACGAACGCTCCTTATCATATGCGCTGAGTCAGTCAGGATATGGCGTTTTGCGGCTACGCGCTGATAACACCGCTCGCGCAGTCGAAGACGCAGGAAAGCAAGCGCATTGGTCTCATGTCCACGATAATAACCATGCGATACAAGGCAGACCGGCCATGTGACTGCTGGGCAAATCAGGGTTGCTAGGCCACAGTGCACAACAGATATCTCTTCGTACACCGACCAATCAAGAAAATATTTCATCCTGACATCACGTGAACAAACAGCTGGCGCCACGAAATCTACCGCAAAGGTTGATTCATACGTCAGGTTTAACGTCCCAAAACCACCGTGTGATTATGAGAGACGCCGTAGTGGAGGGCTCCGGAAATTTCGACCACCCGGGGTTCTTTACCGTGTGCCAAAATCTGAGCACACGGGCCTACAGCATTTCCGCCTCCGTTGGAAATGCAGCCTCCGCAGCCGGGATTCGATCCCGCGACCTGCAGTTCAGCAGCCGAGTACCTCAGCCACTAGACCACAGCGGTAGGGCGGTCGCGAAGGTTCGAAACGCCGGAAGGAAATAACGTGCTCGTTCTTCGTATTCACAGAGGTTTTCTGAGGCGCTTTTAGGTGTCAACTCAGTCAACTTGATGAACGACTACGCAATTTACACATTTCTCGCAACGCTGAGTTCCCAGATAAAAAAAACTAAAATAAAAAAGTGGCGTATGCAGGGGCGTATAGGCAGAAGTTTTTTCCGGAGGGTGGGGAGAGGGAAACTTCTTGATATGATGGGAGGGGTCGGGGAGGAAAATGGTCACTTTGCGCTATCTATGTATGCATCTTTGCCCTGGTGAAAAAAAAAAAAAAAATCAAGCAAGAGGGGGGGGGGGGGGGGGCTGGTGTGCCTACTTCTGGCTGTGCCACGGGCATATGCTGTTAATTGCTGACTGGTTCACTTGAAATTATACCAATGCGTGGGATCCGTCGGAATTTTTTTTTCATTGCACGCTTCATTAATCTCTGTATGGTGTTTTGCGTACAAGACTGCAGCGCGTGTGTATTGGTGACCACAGAAGACGTCAAGGCGAGTGTGGTACCTACTTTTGTCGCAGCATTTCGGTGGATTCATGGGAAATCATTGAACCACGAACTTGGCCAAAGCGAAAGTTTCGAGGAGGTATGCTTGTGCTAGCAGCCACTTCGCTCGTCACCGTGAGCCTCCATATTCTCCTGAACGTACGTCTGGCTCGCAGGTTTTGTAGGGTGCAGCGCTGCTTGACCACCCGCCAACTGAGAAGTTCGACCCAGTGCCCCGTGCTCCTGGCACTTCGAAACTAGACCGGTGCGCAGGGTTAGGGTCGGCCTTCGTAGGACATCGCGCGCCGGCGCACCTTGCGGCCAGGGGCGCATGCGCCCGCAGCGCCGCGCCGCGGTTCCCGGCGCACGAGCGCGCCGAGTCGGACGCGGCGCTCTCGAGCGGCGAAGCCACGCGAGGAGGCGGCGGCGGCGCGCAGAGCGTTGAGACGACGACGACGCGACCAGGCCGCCCAACGCGGGGCCGATGAGCGGCGGCGGCTCGAGCCCGGGGCCCTGCTCTGGAGCCGGGCCCCCCGCGCTGCTTCGACCCTCACCCGCGGAGGCGGCGGCGGCACCTGTTGTCGCCGCTGCCGGCTACCGCCGGCTGCTGTGCTGACGCCGCCGCGGCCGCCTGTTGCTTCTCGGCGGCGGCAGCTGGAAGAGGCCCGCAGGCCCACCACTCGCGGCGCACCACGACGCGGACCATGCGCCCCGGACGCCTGTCTGTGCCGCTGCAGCTAGGCTTCTGCGCCAACCTGCTGTGGATCGCCGTGCTGCTCACCGCACCTCAGGGTGAGTCCTGGCTTTCCCGAGTCTTCGAAACTGTCGCACGACGACGTGGACCGGTCGCCAACTGCGAGCTGGCGGCGAAGCTACGAGTTGCGTACTAGACCTACGTACGCGGACGCGTTTCCCTTGTTGCCTGCAGGTTACCTGTGCTGTCTATGAATAGACCGGGCCATTCCAGATGTGCACGCGCTTCCACCGCCGCTCATTCTTGCATTGTTCGCCGGCAAGATACCACTAAAATAAACGGGCTGGCGTGCTTGAGTACGCTTCATTCATGCGCTATGCTTACGCCGGGAAAAAAAAGTTGTCATGGCGATGCGCGCGCCCTCTAATCATACCATCTCTGGCAGCGGGGAAGCAGGAGGCCGCATACGAGAACCGCTGGCTGTGTGCATCTTCGCGATAGGGTCGAGTATGTCTCGTTGCTGACGAGGCCTTGAAACAGTACACGCTGATCATGAGCGCTGCATAGTTCTTTCCCGAAGAGCGACTGTACCTATGCACCTATAGTTGTAAAGCGGAGTTACTACACTGCGCCTGTTCTGCTCTCTCGACGCACGATCTGCAGCAAGGGTCCTATGGCGAATAATCTGATGAGCGTCTCCTATGTGGACCACGAATTTATGAGAAACCGACACACTTCTACATGTGTTAAGGGAAATCTTCAGCTCCTGGACGCACACACCGTATTGCGCACCCTATATCGCTAACATTACTACGTTTTACTGCGTTACTACGTTCTATTACTATTACTACGGCTAATATTACCACGTTCCATACGTTATGGTCCAACGCTATGACTATTGTAGCGGGTCTTCTTGCAGGAGCTTCTCCAAGAAATAGGTAAATTATTTCACCATCCGTAATCACATCATTGTTTAGTGTTTAGACTAGGTATAAATGCTGCTTTTTGTCTTAGAAATAGACGAAATACGTTATTTATTTTGTTGTCAACAGGTTGTTCGTTATCACTGAGTACCGCTTTCGTTTCGTGGCCTGCACGGTCGGTCTCTATAGTGCGCAGACGGATTCAATCACGGAGGCCACGTTTACGACGAAGTCCAGGCACATTTGGCTGACCAAACTTCTCACACAGCTTCCACAGCGTTGCACCTGGATGTGTAGAAAACGGAGAATAAGACCTCGCTCAGCGCTGCATATTCGAGCTTGAATTCAAGCATCGCATTCTGTACGTAGTCGGCGCACAAAGCGCGCTTTTTTGTGAGCCGCGGAAAGGTGACGAAGCAGAGATAACAAAAGGAGTTTGGCGGTGGCGCGGATGCATATTGTGCAGCCGTAGCCGACGCGGCGTGCCTCAGGGACAGTGATGCATTAATCACCGGCGTCATTCTTCACACGCTCCTAAGGCCTGCTTTGCTTTTATCGCCAAGCGCCGACACCGGCCGCATGAGGGATGATGAAAAACCTTGCGGGCGAATACAAAAGAGTGCATCGTCTTTCTTTTGATTGACTCGCCGGGTTAAGCGCTGTGAGGCGCACTAGTGGAAGGTGCCCAAAACATTTTTTCACTACATATTTGTATTGCTTACCTCGCGGAGGAGAGCCGCCATTAATTAAAATGCGAACACCGCTGCCGGAAATCAAGTCCGTGGTTTCGTATTCTTGTTCTGCCGAACCGCGAGAAAGGGGTCACGTCGGCGACGTGTCCAAAATACTTCGACTTAATTTATTTCCTGTCGAGAGAGGTAAAACTGGGAGCATAAATTAACGTATTATCAGCAGCGAAACGCGTATTACGTGTAATTATATTGAATCAGAGGCTTGATCCGAGGTAGTTGCTACAGTGACATATTGAAAGCGTGCGAAGACAAGGGACAAAGAGGCAACAAAGAGAGCAGTGTATTTTTTTTTCTCAGTAAGTTTTCAATATACAATTATCGCACAAGCGCTGTGTGTGTGCTTTTCTTCGCCATCTTTATGCGCTTATGGGTTTCACTGCGTGATTATGCATGCAGGTAAGTTGTGTAATCCCTCTGTAACCTGTTGAAAAGTTCTGAGTCTAGGTATATTTGACTCCTAAAAGCAACTCTCGCATTGCAAGAGAGAGATCGAAGCGCCTTTATAAAATATTGATATCTTTCTGGTGCCACTGCATATCGAACTCACGACTTCGTTACTAACAAAACACAATGAGTCAAACAAGCCGGTGAAGTGATCACCACCACCTCGAATAATAATAATAATAATAATAATAATAATAATAATAATAATAATAATAATAATAATAATAATAATAATAATAATAATAATAATAATAATAATGATGATGATGATGATGATCATGATAATAATAATAATTCGTCATCAGGCAATGGCCATTACCGACCTGTCAGCTGACGCAATTGTACCACCCGGTATTGCACAGCGCCTGCATTCAACTCACTCGCTTTCGGCGGGCCTGCCGTTTTCATCCGGGAGCGACATCTCATTTGCCTAGTTTCGAGCCCCCTTGTGCTGTCATACTGCGCGTGCCGCCACGCATTCGGGCGCGACAATAGTGAATGGCTCGGCCATCGACAAAATGTGGCCGCCGGTTATCCCCTTCTTTTCATAACAGACAATGAAACGGGAAGCACTTACACATTGCGGCTGCTTATATGCTCGCTGCGTTCGCATATTTCACGTTCACGATATATTGAAAATGCTACAGTGGCATGAAAAATGCTAAATTTCGAAAAAAACAAGTGTCCGCGTTATTGTTAACCGGTATGCTTTCGCTACAATATTCTGGCCTTTTCATTTTTTGACGGAGAATTCTTTGTGAAAACATCGTTGTTGCAGTTTCAGTGCAGCATTCCATAGATATTTCTCAAGAGACGTGATCGGCTTTGGAAACATTTCTGTGGACTTCGATGTTTTGTGCGGACGTTTAAGTTGCTTCGATACTGCTGCTTGTTTTGTTTTTTTCAACACTTGTGTTGCATGGACAGATCTTTGTTTTGAGCAACTCGGACCGAGTGCGCGAGTGTTTTACTATGTGCCTTAGTACATCTACACTGCACGTCAACTATTGCGCAAAGAAAAGGGGAACGACCGCCTTCACGCGTTGGCAGCAACCTGCCCATTCGTAAATTTAATTAAAAAAAAATGCGCTAAACAGGCTGGCTGGCGTTGCGGTGGGTGGTCGTATTTTGTTGTCAAAGGCGGCCAAGTAAATACAACGTACCAAGACGAGAACTAACTGCAGCTCTGGATAGACTGGATGATCGGCCTTTGATCGGAACAAAGGATTCTGGGTCATTGGCTGAGCCAATCCTCAGCCCAGAAGGCTTTGAAAGCTTTGCTGCGCTTTTTGCGGACAACTGGCCTCAGAGACAGACTTTAATGCCTTATAGTCTTTGATGTTGCCTTTCCTCTGTCGCTATTTTCTTGCAATCTCTCGCTCTCTCTCTCTTTGCAACATTTCTTTTAGATGCGGAAGCATCTTATACTCGCGCCTTGTAGTGCGCCGTTCGCGCCGTCCGCACCGCTTCTCGAACATTCGACAGCTGACGCGCGCGCATGCGCCGTCGCGCCGTCGCCCACCATCTGTGCCGCGCGCGCTTCTCCTTCGAGAACATTCGACAACTGACAGCGCATGCGCCGTCGCCATCTGTGCCGCGCGCGCGCTTCTCCTTCGAGAACATTCGACAGCTGACAGCGCATGTGCCGTCGCGCTGTATATATACTCAAGGTCGGCGCTCGCTCGCTCAGTTGCCGCTCGTCCGTTGGTTTGTACGGCGCGTCGACGTCCGAAGTCGCCGTGAAATGAATGCCAACGAATCCACAAACAGAATGATCGACGTCCCTTCGACCAGCGCCGGCCAAACTGTTGGCGGAACCGCTTCCGCATCCTCCTCAGTGTTCCCCCGAGGGAAGCTGCGGGAAATTTTTTGTCATCCTACGTTCCCCTCACCCCTTTCCCCAGCACAGGGTAGCCAGCCGATCTAAGAACTGGCTAACCTCCCTGTCCTTCCGCTTAAACTTTCCTCCTCCTACTTCTAGGCGATTGCTGTGTACTAATTTTTTACGTCCTTTGGGACTTATCTCATTTACATAAAAATGATTTATACATTGCCGATTGCTTAAAAAATCAGCTGGAGTTTTTTTTTATGAACGTTGCGTGGCAATGTTACTTCAACTTTTTGCCAGGTGCCGAGAGCACAGCGTTAACCCTTCCCCTTTCCTGTTTTCGGGCCGGAAAAAGATAATAAAATTCCATTTTATTTCCCTAGTAGATTCTACGAGTCCTGAGTATAAAAAAAAATTCAAAGGCGCTTTATTTGCAAGACACACAAAAAACTTTTTGTTTTTGTTTATTTTTTTCAATTGTATACAGATGACGGTTTCAACTATATACTGTACCACGAAAAGAGCTCTAATATCTCCAGTTTTCGGTGCAGAAAATGTCTCCTCTAAATTTCAAAGTTGTAGGCCCGTGTACTCAGATTTCGGTGCACGTTAAAGATCCCCAGGTGGTCGAAATTTCCGGAGCCCTCCACTACGGTGTCTCTCATAATCATATGGTGGTTTTGGGACGTTAAACCCCACAAATCAATCAATCAATCAATCAATCAATCAACCAATCAATCAATCAATCAATCAATCAATCAATCTCCTCTAAATTTCAAACATGAATCGCGGAGAGTTGAGGCTGTCAAAACAAATCTTCGATGCATGCATCGGCGTGCCGCTACGCCGAAACGCGGTCGTCGTCAGAATCCGATGATTGAGAAAAAACAAAACAAAAACAAACTATGATGCAATGTGTACTCTTTGCAGTACATATAGGGAGACGAAATTCTTCATTTCATGAAACTTCGGCAAACGAGGGTTTTTTTTTTTCTGAACGCGGAGCTGTTCTGCAGGCAGTCTTGAATTTAGCCATAGTTGGTACTGGTTCATAACTGAGTATACTTTTCCGCGCAAATCGGTCGAGGATGAAAAACACAAAGGAACAGAGCGGGTGCCAAGTTCCAACTAATTTCATTCCACAGAGGAAG